GTTCAATCCCCAGCAACCCCCCAACAGAGAGGAGTGGCAGGATAATTGCATGAAAGAAAGCTTTGAAGGAAAGGTTGTGACGCTCAGGAATATAAAAATGACATGACGATCTACCTCAGCATGCTGGTCAATTTACTCACCTTTTCTAAGTCCTAGTTTTCTTACCTAAATTAAAATAGGACTCACCTACCCTTTCAAATTGTTAGGAGTATAAATGAGATCAGGAACACAAGGTGAGCAGCACAGTACAGGGTACATGGAAAGCCTTCGATAATGTGAGAGATTATAATTTTGAGCACCTAGCATTGCTTGGACATAGTTTGATAAATTGTTTTTGTTTTTTATAAATTAGTTTTACTTTTGGGGGGGGGTTGAGAGAGGGTCTCACTGTGTAGTTTAGCCTGACCTGGAACTATGTAGCCCAGGCTGGTTTTGAAATCACAGAGATCCTCCTGCCTCAGCCTCCCGAGTGCTGGGATTACAAGCATGTGCCACCACACCCCGTTTATAAATTACTTTTAAATTGGGGGTGGGGGCTACATCAATCCGGATCTTTTTTTTTTTTTAAACAGAGTTTCCTCTGTGTAGTTTAGTTAGGCTGGATTTGAACTCGCTATGTGGCCCAGGCTGGCCTCAGACTCACAGCAATACTCTTACCTCAGCCTCCTGAATGCTGAGATTACAAGTATGCACCACCATTACTGGTTTGGGATTTTTTTATTTGTTTGTTTTGAGACAGGGTCTCACTATGTTGTTGAGACTGACCTGGAACTCACTATGTAGCCCAGGCTGGTCTCGAACTCACAGTGATCCTCCTGCCTCAGCCTCCCAAGTGCTGGGATTATAGGCATGTGCCTCCACGTCTGGCTAGGGATTTTTATTTTTGTAAAAGTGAAATGTTTCATATGTAACCAAAGTATTGACCAGGCCATGAAATAGTAAAAGGATACACAAGTTACTGACAGTGGTCATATGGTGTAATAGAATTTGTTGTTTTTTTTTTATTCCACAAAATTTTTTCCTACTGATAGCCTGCCGTATTTTCTCCACTGTATGTTTTATCTTGCTTTTTCCTTTTATTCAGCCCAAGCTTGTTCTGCCGAGCTAGGTTCTCTCTCACAATTCACTTTTACTTTTTCAAATAAACTTTACCGCTGTTTCTTGCTCATTTTGTCCCATTGTTTGGGACAAGAACTGGAAACTAGTTCCAGAAGAAGACTCAAGCAAAACCAAACAAAACAGAATGAAACGCACAACCCCGTACTTCTTTTCAAGAACCAAGATTTTCTTTTGTTTTTGAGACTGGGTTTCACTATTGTAGTCCACACTGCCTTTATACTCTCTGTGATCCTCCTGCCTCAGCCTTCCAAATGCTAGGATTTCAGGCTTATGCTACCACGCCCAGCAAGAGCTAAGAATATTCTGGGTTTTTTTTTTTTTTTTTTTTTTTTGGTACCAGGGATCGAACTCGGGTCCTTGTGCTTGCAAGGCAGGCGGCGGCACCACTGAGCTAAATCCCCGGCCCTGCTAAGGGTATTCTGAATATAGATAACATTCGGATTATAGATAACAAAGTTTATAGTTTAATACAGTTCCTCCCTTCTAAGAATTACCTTCTTCCTCTCCAGAATATTTTCATTCTTCTTGTCTGACATAATTTGCTGTTAATCTTGGAACAATCAACCCCTTCTTTACCCTGAATAACAGCTTCCTCATTCAGAACATGAGGCACAGAATCCAGACAGTGCTTCCCAACTGGCAGACCTTGGCAGGCTAGTGTCCTGTGTGGCAGTGAGAAAGTAACCCTCCCTACAAGCGAAGAGAGGTCAGAAGAAGCCAGCAGCCCTGAGTCAGCACTTCTGGTCTTGAGTCGTGTTCTTCAGCGCGCCCTGGGGCATCCCAGGCAAAGTGGTTCAGGTTGTGCACCAAGCAAGCAGTGAGCACTGTGGCCAACAACCAATACGTGTAGCTGTGTTAGTCTTTGGGCAGCATCTTCCGTGTGGGTAATTATATGCAAAGTGCCCCACTGCCTAGCAGGGACTGAAGAATGGAGCCAGTGCACCAGTTTGTAATGTGGGTGCCCAAAGGTATAGCCCACAGCCACAGCCCCAAGGTCATCTGTCAAGGAGTGAGAGAGGAGCTCAGCCCCTTGATGGCGCTTTAACATGCAGTGGCTGTTGCTATTCCTCTGCAGCTAGTGCCCCCCACTTCTTTCTTTATTTTTTGGTACTGGGGATCAAATTCGAGTCCTTGCACTTGCAAAGCAGGCAGTGGAACCACTGAGCTAAATTCCCGTCCTCTATTTTTTATTTTTAAAATTTTCAGACATGGTCTTGCTGTGTATCGCAGGCTAGCCTCAAACTCACAGCAATCTTCCTGTCTCAGCCTACCCAGTGCTGGGATTACAGACACATGCCACCTCACTGGTGCAGTTGGTGCCCTTTTATAATTGTATCCAAACTAGCCATGTCAATGTATGCGTGCTCTGAAAGCTAGAATTTCCATGTGGAAAAAAAATTTTTTTGAGGTACTGGGGATAGATTCCAGGGAGCACCGAGCTACATTCTCAGCTATTTTACATTTCATTTTGAGATAGGGTCTTGCTAAATTACTCAGGCTGGCCTTGAACTTGCAGTCCTCCTGCCTCTGCTTAACAACTAGTTAGGATTATAGGCATACAGCAGCACCCTAAGCCTAAAAGTAGAAATCTTCATATAAAAATGTACTCTTGGGCTTGAAATCCATTTACGTTATCACATGAAATTACATTTGTCAATGAAAGAAAAGGAAGAGTTAAGTCTTTAAGTATAACTATAATTGAATTATAAATTTTGAATGGATGCTTAACATGGTTTTAAATATTTTATCACCCACTTATGTGATCAGAGGCCCTCAATAGTAATGACTATTCAGAGTATGAGGAGTTCATCCTTAAAAAGTCTGGATCAAAAACTGTAAAACTATTTCAATAATAAAACCTAGTATCAAAATGTGTTCACAGAAATAAATTAAAAGCAGCTGGGTGTGGTGGCACACGCCTGTAATCCCAGCACTCGGGAGGCTGAGGCGGGAGGATCCCTGTGAGTTTAAAACCAGCCTGGGCTACAGTGAGTCCCAGGTCAGTCTCAACTACATAGCGAGACCCTCTCAAAAAACCAAAACACCAAAAAAAAAAAAAAGAAAAAGAAACAAGTTAAAATCAATAATTTAAAAACATGGACATATTTTGTAATGTTTTATGTACGTTCCATGTTTAGTACTATCCCTAGTATTCTGTACTTCATTTTTAAATCAAAATTACATAGATGGAAGAGAATGTTAGGGTTATTTTTAACCAACTATCATCCAGATGGCTTCAAATCTCTTCTAGTTTACTCTACTGTGCTGTAGAAAATTATTTTCTGTATGTCACGCTATGAAAACAGTTGATAGGTCCTGAAATAAACATAAAGCCTGTCTGCCGCCATCCTAACCCAGAACTCCATCCCTACTCTCATACACCCTCACTTCAAGGAGAGTGAGGGCTACAGGGGGATAGCAGTCAAGGGGCAAGGTTCAAGCCTGTGTCCCACAGGGTCGAGAGTTGGAGCAGGAGGGCCAGGGATCTAGCTCAGTGGTGCCGCCACCTGCCTTGCGAAGCGAAAGGGCCAGACTTTGATCCCCAGTGCCCATTCCCCCCAAAAAATTGGAGCAGGAATTTTTTTGTTGTTGTTGTGAATCATCTCATTTTGTAGTTCAAAATGGCCTTAAACTCACTCTGTAGCCCAGGTTGGCCTCAAATTTGAGGCAGTCCTCTTGCCTCAGCCTCCCCAGTGCTGGGATTACAGGTGTGCACTACCACACCTGGTTTAGATAGATATTAATATGCATTCAGAGAGGGCTGGTGCGTCCTGGAGGAAGTCAGCACAAAAAGACACCAGGGCTGGGTGTGGTGGTACATGTTTGGAATCCTAGCACTTAGGAGGCTAAGGCAAGAGGGTGGCTTTGAGTTCAAGGCCAGCCTGGGATATGGGATACACAGTGAAACCCTATCTCAAAAAAAAGAAAAAAAATCAAAATTAGGGCAAATCTGAAGGGTCAGGCCTGAGGATGGAGACTTGATAACCAGGCCTGAGAGATTAGTAGCAATTTGAGTCTGTGCTGTAATCAGCACCACCGGGGTCCAGAGGGCCCAGATAGGCACCCTATCTAGTGGGGACCAGAACACCCGGATCCTACACCTCTCCCCCAGAATGCCTTTGTTCTTCCCACATGCCCTTGCGTCATGCCTCTTTCCCTATTGGCTCAGTATTAGCTAAACAGCCATACTTACAATCCTAGAGGTTAAGGTAGTTTGACCCACATTGTGCCCACGTTGTGAGTTCGCTGCATAAATTATCCCTGAAGAAGGGCCTCAGCCCTCACCTAGAAATCCAGGAGCCAGTCTTCTCTTTATTCCCAATGAAACTCAACTAACTTCACTGCACAACTTCATTCCTCCATAGGTGAGACCAGGAGCTCCACACCTTTGAGTCCGAAGTTATAATTTTTTCGTCAGTAAAGATGGAAGCACAGCAACTGCAGGAAAACTATTTGGGGGCTTATTCATCGAAGTTAATTCAAAACCTGATGGCTGGGTTCTGTCCCACCACATAGTACCTTATGTTCACCCTTCACAAATACAAGGATTGTCCTTACGAAATGCTAAAGTTCAAATTCTTTTTTCTTTTTTTGGTGTTTTTTTTTTTTTTTTTTTTTTTTTTTTCTGTCCTGGGGATCGAACTTGGGACCTTGTACTTATGAGGCAGGCAGCCGAAGCACTGAGCTAAATCCCTGGCCCTGAACATCAAAATCTTATGCTTTTCCAAACTCTAAGGTGGCCACTCCCCATTTAAGCTTTTAATTGACAATGTAACTGATTAGATTTCTAATCTTTCCACGGGAGGGCCAGATCTACCCCAAAGGAGTTGGTCACATGCACTGCTAAATTAACAAAGCATTTTCTATCAAGGAAGGGAAGCATGTCAATTATCATTTTATCAGTAACTTTGCTCCAATATAGATCTGGATTAATTTATACCTGTCACAGATTTTGGGAGGTCACCTAATCTTGTCCCCATTTTCTTTCTTTTTTGGTTTTTTTGAGACAGGGTCTCACTACGTAGTTGAGACTGACCTGGAACTCACTATGTAGCCCAGGCTGGTCTCGAACTCACAGCGATCCTCCTGCCTCAGCCTCCCGAGTGCTGGGATTACAGGTGTGTGCCACCACGCTCTGCTCGTCCCCATTTTCACTTTTAAAAAAATTAAAGCTCAATAGGGTGAAATGCTTTAAACCTCTATGCTGGGCCCATGCCTATAATCCCAGCACTTGGGAAGCTGAGGCAGGAGGATTGCCTTCAGTGACAGGTCAGTCTGGGCTCCATAATGAATTCATTAACAGCATAGCAAGGCCTTGTCTCAAAAAATAAAAATAAAATTCCTTGACTATGCAGAGAAAAGATTAAAATTTTAGTTTTTTAAAAAACTCAATTCATCTCATTATACCTCACCAGAGTTGGAAAAATGTGACCACATCAAGGTAAAAAATCACTGGCGAATGGGCACCCTGACTGGCGACTGTGCCTTTTTAGAAATGTCCTAAATCACTCAGATCCTCTAGCATTGTCCTCTACAACAATGCTTGATCTTTGCCCTTGCCAAGCAGAGCGTTAGGAAACAGCCCGACAGGGTCCTGAGCTCCGTGCGCACGGGATGGACTGACTTCCACCATCTCACCTGGGCGCGAAGGGTGGCAAAGTGCCTGTCGCGCCTGAGGCCTGTCCCCGGCCCGCGATTCCCGCCCTCGGTGTCGCAGGGACCTTCAGCGCGGGCCCGCTCGAGTGGGCGTAGCAGATCACAGACACTGGTGCCAGGCACTAGAGGACGCGGGAGGGGGCGAGAGGCCGAGGAGGCATTTTCACAACCTTCAATTATAAGATAAGAAAGCGAGATTTTACTTCGGGCACAAGAGCGGAGTCAATTCGTAAATGGAGACCTAGAGGCCTGCGTGGTGGGGGAGGGGAGAGGAACGAGAGAAGAAAGGGAAAGGCCATTCTTTCAGTGACGCGCGGTCACGAGGCGTTCTCCCGACGTGGGCCATCGCCATTGGCCGAGCCCAAGGTGACGTAACAGCAGCCGCCCCGGCGCGAACGGTGGCAAAGGCAGCGCCGCATTGGAAGTTGGAGAGGCGCGCGCGCTCCCCGGTCCGCCGAGCCTCCGCCCTCGGTCTTCCACCCACCAATCCATTCGTCCATTTCCCGTACGCTCCCGGTCACGAGGCGTTCTCCCGACGTGGGCCATCGCCATTGGCCGAGCCCAAGGTGACGTAACAGCAGCCGCCCCGGCGCGAACGGTGGCAAAGGCAGCGCCGCATTGGAAGTTGGAGAGGCGCGCGCGCTCCCCGGTCCGCCGAGCCTCCGCCCTCGGTCTTCCACCCACCAATCCATTCGTCCATTTCCCGTACGCTCCCCCTTGGCCACGCCCCATTCCTCAATCGCTCCTCCCTCAAGCCGGCAGCGCGCGGTAAGCGCGTCACGTGACGACTGGCCCC